TTAGCTGAAACCCATTAGCCTGACTAAAGCTGCCTCTGCAAGACACTTTGCAACCCACCATCCAAACTTTCTTTCATATTTGTCACTGATGCCTGTGGAGGTCTTGCTGGTGCCGTAACTACTGTATACTTTCCACGTATAAGCGGAGATCCTTTTTGACTAATGTGGGGCCTAACTAAAATACACTAAACTAAATGTGGCTGAAGTCAGTGTTAATTATAAAAAGGGAACCTTCACATTTTACTAGAGTGAAAAGAATCTGGGAATTACTTTTCCTGGATGTCTGCCAGAAATTTGCTCCGAACAGGAGTCTGAAAATGTTGGGGAGAGTTTGTGCAAATGTGTTTTTATCTTTCAATAACTGAAAGTGAGACAAAAGCGGAGGCAGATTAAAGATGCCTTGTAGTGAAATGTGGCATTTGCACTCCAGTTTAAAACTACTTTAAACATTTCAATGGTCTCTGTAGAGAAAATAGGCAACTGTTTATGTTTTTAACTTTAAGTAAGAAGTAACAAGTAAATACCATTGATGGTGATCTTGGCTGACCACTTGGAAGTGCCATCCAGCACACTTTGCTTAATGTTCTTCATGTTCTGGGTGTGGACCATCTTGGAGATGTTGAACACTTTACGGATCTCCTCAAAGATCTCTGGCTTGTTCCTCTCGCGGATTTTCATCCGGTCTTTCATGGCCATGATGATGTGCTGCGTCCGGTCCTCTGCCCCGGTCTTGGAGCTCTTCTCGGCCGCTCCTGAAGGCGATGCAGCGAGTTCACAGGAAGCAATAATAAATATGACAATTCAGCTGTCAGGTAGTTTAATAACTTTACTTACTTTGCAGGCAGTCGGCGTTTAGCAGCTCTTGGCATTTCTCATGCACTTTGACCCCGCACTCTGCACAGCGCATTCCCTGCCGGGCGATGCCCCACAGCAGACCCTCGCACTCGTAGCAGTAAGTGGGTGTGGTGGCGGTCCACACTTCAAAATTGTGCGGCGTGGTGCAGGAGATGGGGTAGATGAGAGCCTGCAGGGTCTTCTTGTATACGTGGTTTTTCTGTTGGAGGGAAAAAGAGAGAGAGGAAGCGATAAAGAGAAGGTCAGTCACAGCCAGAGCGTCTGAACGAAGCATAAAAGCGAGGAGTAGGACTGGTTTTTAAAACATTTTCCAAAGAAAGTAAACGGAGGGAGCAGAGATGGAGCAAAAAGGCGAGGATGCATAACAAGGCAAGACAGAGGACGACGAGGTCAGTGACAGAAATGCACAAAAGACTATTCGCACTTAGTAATACATAATTATATAAAAGTATATATTAGCTAGTTGTGTTCACTGTACTCTGATTTAAGTAAGGTCTGCAGAAGTAATTCAGGAAAGCTGTGAAAATTAACCACAGCGTAATTTTATGGAAGTATCATGTAAAATGACAGCGAGCTTTGATTATGTACAGCAGTTAATTTGATTGAAATTCTACGACTTTCCTCTGATGAACTAAATTCTGATGTTGTGGGAGGAGCGTGGGAGGAGGTGAACAATCTACACAAGACCAGAGGACACTTTGACAAGAAGCCCAGTTTGATTTGGTGAATTTTGTACAGAGGGCAAGTGAGTCATTATTATTATTGTTAATGCTCTCTTTATTCTTTTCTTTATAATTATCATGGTAGAGATGCTGGTGTGGTGGAGTTACTAATAGAAATGACTGTTTTGTATCAATAATTTCACTTTTATTGATCTGACCTTCTGATTTCACTTTGTTCTTTTCTGTGATTTTATCACCTTTGATTTCCATTTGTCGGCGACTGTTTTTGGTACTTTTTGGCTGTTGATGACCAAAAAGGACGAACCTTTAGCGGCACATTTTTAAAGTTTCTTTTCACACTGTCTGACTGAAATAACAGAACCGTTAGTATTGTACACGTTGTTTATCTCAGTGTTTTTCTTTTCCTTTCTATGAACCCCTTACACCATGCACACCCACGCGAACATGTGCAGAGTACTCTTCTATAAATGTTTATGTAGGTCTGTATTTTCAAGTAATAATTAAATGCATGCTCTAAATGACCAGCTCACTTTTAAAGCCTGCACATCGTTGGGCTCCAGGCTTTCTGTCTGAATTGATGAGAAACATAAACTTGGAATCGGAATCCAACAAAATAAAAAGAGTCTGCAACACAAGTCATGAAGGTTCATATATTATAGGAAAAAAGGTGAGAGACCATCAATACGGTTCAGTCCACCAACACAACCTATGGCCTTAAAACTAAAGTCACTCAGTTATAAGGCGAGCCGGTATTTATTGCATGGTCTACTTTTAGCATTGCACTTGAGCTGCACATGTTTGTGCACAAGTCTTCTCCACTGTAAGACTCTAGTAAACTGTGTTTCATCCAAATAAGAGGCTCTTAATTTTTCATGTGTAATTATACTCTGAAAAGAAAATCCCAACCCTTGAATCTCCTCCTGTCCTCTGCTGTATCGTTTTCTGCCAAATCCAGTGACCTATTTTATGCACTTTAATTATTAATGCTTCTTCTGATATATAATGTAATCACCATCATGACTTGGCACAGCGAGGCATGGAAAAGAATTGCAAAATGAACTATAATAAACAAACATGAAGTCTGCCCCTGCCTCCATTAAAACATGAAGCTGTCTGAAGTTGACTCAGCAAAATCCAGAGCCTACAGTATATTGGATCTCCAACAAACAGATCAACAATATGGCTGCAGGATAATGACAGCAGGAAAACAGTTGGAGGGAAAAAAGTGTGAAAAAGTGTGTGTGACTGTTTGTAAAAAGAAGTTGAGCTTAGCTGGCATCGAGGTAACTCACACTTTTATTGTTTGTGTGTGTGTGTGTGTTTTTCTGTATGGCATATGCACTTGGCCACTCACAAGCTCTTCGTCTTTCAGGGAGGTCCGTGTGGCCAGTGTGTGGGCGAGTCCAGCTTTCCTGGACTGTAGCATAGACTAGAAATGAGAGAGAAAAGAGAGAAATCAGGAATTCACAGCCACGGAGAAACACGCAAACAAACACGTTTAAAAGAAAAGACAAAGACAAAGAAAACTTTCAGCTTTAAAATTCAGGGAATCAATAGTTTGTGTGATGTTGGGCTTTTCTTTGAAAGCAGTGAAAGCTCAGCATCACAAGAACAACATACGCTTTTGTTCTCCTTTTGTCTTTGAGGCACACTTTCTGAAACACACTACTCTCGTGTATTGTCTCCTTGAGGACGAACCCTCACGCACGCTCGCGCTGCTACAGTTGTGAGGCTCTTTGTGATGTACAATTAGCAGGAATCTTTCAA